GAGGGTGACCTCAGAGTTTTATTCAGTGTATCACGATAGTTTGTTCACTCACCGAAATATTTTCAGGTCCCACAGATAAGACTTTGGTCTATCAAATGATATGTTTTTTTTTCATATGAAAATGGATAAAAAAAAAGTTATGAGTTGGGGAAAAATATTTCAGTCATTTTTGCTGGAGTGATCGGAATTACCCGGACAAGTTTGTATGACTGATCCGAATTATCCCATTCGGGGTAATTCAGATCAGCTCGCCATGACCTTCACCATTTTCGCTGATACTTTTTTCTAATACATTCTTTTTCGAAGATCCTTTCGTCAATAGATAGAGGACACTTGGTTCTACTTATGGTCCAAAATTCAAACCTCTATTTTATAAAATGAATGAGAACGGAAAAAAATAAAATGAAATTTTTTATTTTTGATCCGAATTACCCCGAACGACTCAATGCTGTTGATGTGTGTGGGAGAGAAACAGTATGTATTGTATGACCAGAGGTCAATCAGTATGATTTAGTAAAGAGAGATCGTACCTGCGCTCACAGTATACACCAACTCAAATCGCTGCCTGGGACAGTCATTAGGATCAGAACTTGTTAAATCAAAAAGGATTCGATATAAGTTACTATTGAAGCTGAACTCGTTTAGATTATTGTGTTGAGACTGGTCACTTTGTTTTTTACGAAAGTTCATTGACCCTTTCTGACTGCATCCCATCGGAGGGGTTCTGTTTAAGATCTGTCCATTCTGCTCACATTCGTAATTATCTTCTTTGTGAGTGCTCCTTGATTTTTATCGATTAACCGTTCCATGCCTCTATTACAAGCCACGTAGATGCCTTCTTAGTCTCTGTTGATCTGAAAGTAGACAGCTAGATAAGGGCGAAACTTTTACAATTAGTGCAAATTCTCAACCCTACTTTCATGATTTTAGTTTATTTTCTTTCATTGCTTCTAGTGTCCTCTCTTTTCTGAGAGATCGTCCATCATTTCTTCACCCATCGCTATTCGCTGTTTCTATTCTGATTTGTGCGCCTAGCCGGTTTTACTTGTCAAACTTGTAATGACCGACCAACTTTCATCGCCCTTCTTCGTCTGCCTGCTCGTTCCTTAGGTTTGATCCTTTTTCTTCTACTCCTCCTGTCATTATTCCAGTCTTTTTACGTTTATACTGCCAATGCACTTTCTGATTCATTTTCTCCAAATTAAAGACTGCAGATAGGCTACTGTATCTCGAACATCAATTGTTCTTCTAAAAACCTTATAGCACGTGTTACAATAGTATGACTCATTTTTTTTCTACGGCTTCCACTATTTCGAAACTGTTCTCAGTTTAGTTCATACACGAGGCTAATACTGTGCAAAAATACACTGGTCCTTCTGGATACTTGATTCTTCCTTAAGCAAGTATTTCGTCCGAAATAAAGGATATTTAACTTTCACGCCGTGTTTCTTTTCTTTTTCTGTGTTTAGATTTATTCAGAACAAATGGGTACCGGAGCTTCGGGACAGAAGTCACCTTCTCAGCTTGCTATAGCTCTTTGGAAGATTCTTGAAAATGATATCTATGGTAATGGCTGGTTCAATTTAGCTCAAAAATACCTCCTAGATGGTGCTGATATAACAATGCCAAATAAACAAGGCGCTTATATGACACCATTTGTTGTGAAGAAAAGACAATTAAATCAACAAGCTGGAAGACAGTTTCAAGTTGACATGTATCAGGCATTCATTCAACTGCTGGTGAAACGTGCTTCTGAATTACTTGTGAAAGCACTTGACCAAGGTGGCAACAGTATGACTGAAATACAATTCCTGGTTGGTACATTAAATGCTGATTGTTATCAAGGCGAAACATACGGTATATTAGGCTTATTGGGACACGTGTTACGACAGAATGGTAGTGCTGTACGTTTGGAAATTGTACAATTTCTCATTGAATCTGATGAACGTAACAAACTGGCTTTGGGAAAACGCGATCAAACAACGTGTATCGAACTAGCTAACACTGTGAACAAGGACAAACATGTGATAGATTATTTACAACAGCAATTGAATATGTTATTGAATAAAATTCCATTTCAACGTGATATTCCAACTGAAGAAATTAATCAATGGATTCTGAATGGAGCTGATACAGAATGGGTAGATGAAAATGGTGACACTGTCCTTTGTAAAGCTGTTGTGTACTATTCCAATACTCTGTTGCCTTTCCTTCCAGTGTCATTTTACTTCTTAATCCCTTAATGAAACACCTTATAGATTTTGAACAGTTACTTGTTGCCAATAAATTTGAATTCTGTCAAACTCTTCTAGCAGCTAATGCTAATACAAAATTTCAAAATAAGCGACATCAAACTCCAATTGATATTGCACAGAGTCAACCCTCTATTAATGCAGAATTAGTTAAAATTCTCAAAAATCAAGATGTTAATAATGAATTGAAATCAGCTATTGTGGATCACAAGCCAGTTGATGTTATGCGAGAAATTCTATCTAGACGTGCTGATATTAAAGCCATTACAAATGTGAATCAAGATACATTTCTACATTTATTACTTTCAAATAGAAATGCAACACCAGACCTTCTGAACATTTTTGTGAATGAGTATCATGCCGATATTCATGCAATGAATTTAAAAGGACATCGTTCAATTGAAACACTTATTATAAGTGACTACGATGATCAATCAATAGAATCATTGATGAATGAGTTTTTCAAATTCAAGCAATTCACAACAGATTGCTTCTACAATGAAAGACTAAAATTGAATCTTCTTGCATTTGCCGACCAACAGAAGAAGTCAAAAGCCAAAGACTTAATTCAATCAGAATTAAATCAACGTTTGTGGAAACTGTGTCTAGATAGTGTAACACATAATAGCGATGGAAACAACGAAGAAAAGGAAATTGAAATTCGTCAAGAATTAGCCAAACTTGTTGAATATGGTGCACAAATAGATCATCTACATAAACAGAACAAGACAGATGACGATGAATGGACAGTAGTTCACATACTTTGTAAACTAGGAAATTTAAAACTACTGCAATATCTTATTCAAAATTTAAAAGCAAAATCTTACAATCAGCCAACATCAAAACTAGCTGATCATCCCGTCTCAATTGCAGCTGAATACGGTCACTTGCCTATCATCCATTATCTTCGAGAAACATTCGACGATGTCGATCTAAATGTCTCAAATTCAAATGGAGACTCGCCACTACACAAAGCAGCGAAAAACAATCATTTTCTCGTCGTTCGTTATCTCGTTCTATGGGGTGCTGATCCTCAAACGTTGAATTCAGCACAACAAACGCCATTACAATTAGTCACCTCATCCAATTCTACAAAACAATTGATTCAATTCCTAGAACAATTGGTAGATATTTCTACTAACACTGCAGAAGATAAGCAACCACGTTTATCCTCAGCACATCGTCCAAGCGATGATTTTGATTATTGTAAACTAGTTACACCAATTCAATTTTATCATTCACAACCTCTTTTTAGTGACCTAGCTCCGGAAAGTAACAGATCTAGTGGTATATTTGGCCCATCATCTCCAAATGAACGACTACACGATGCAGCTACTAACGGTGATATTAATATGGCTCAAAATGCAATAGCTAGTGCAGCTGACGTGCGTCATCGAGATCAACATGGCCATTGCAGTTATAAACAAGCAATGATAAAAGCTGATGAATATCGTAAGAAGATTCCGCATTCCAATGAAGAACGACAGCAGTATGCTACGATGGTACATGCTTGTAGTCAAGTAGCCCAGTATATATCAACCGTTGCGCGTAATCAATTGATTGAATCAATTAAAAAATCAAATGTTGGACGAGTTATGGCCTTTCATCAGAGTGGTGCTCCACTAACTCCCGATCTTCTTCAACTTGCATGCACTACCTCAAGTGATAATATTGAAATTGTTGACTATCTGGTGTGCAACAGTCCCGACACTTATAAAGCGATGTTCAACTTTTCTATTAATACTGATTCACCCTATGCAACAGCTTTGAAGATGAAATACACAAACATTGCTAACTATATACAATGGCGACTCACAGAACAACTATCAAATGCCGTCACTCAAAATAGCACTCAACTCGTCCGACAACTTCTACTAGCGGGTGCCAGTGCTGATATAATTAACAGCAAAAATTTAGATCAAGCTATTAAAAGTAACAATTTGAAAATAGTACGTGCTCTATGTGAACACGGTGCTCGTCTTCCAACTTCTGTGACCAGTACAAATCCACAGATAACATCCTGTTTGAAACGATACAAACTCAATCATGATTTACGTGAAGCAGCTGCAAAAGGAAAACTAGAAGATATTAAGCTCTACCATCGCCGTGGAGCAGATATTAATGCAAAGAATTGTCATGGAGCAACAGCTTTGTTACTAACAATTCAATACGGTGAAAGGTATCCGATTGTTCATTATCTCGTCTCACGTGGTGCATCAATGCTGCATGCCGACTCTTCACAGCCATCACTGTTGAGTTTGGCAAAACAACGAAAATATGATAAAATCGATAACTATTTATCAACACAATTGAATACACAATTTCTAGCAACAATTTTAGATAATGATACCAGTCAAATTGATGCATTTTCAAAATTGAGTACTGATCTTTTCAATTGTACAGATGATGAGGAAAGAACACCCTTACACTATGCTGTCCAGTATCACGGAGTCGACCTGGTGAAATGGTTGTGTGACCGTGGTAGTGATCCGATGAAAGCAGATCAACATGGAAACTATCCAATTACACTAGCAACTGAGAAGGGTGATTATGCTGTAGTGGAATATTTTATAACTGCACATGGTGCGACAAGAACATTGCAAAATAGAAGAGGTCAAGATGCATTGGCTATTGCTAGGAATAAAAATTACGGTGAAATTATACAACTATTCGATCCAAGTTTTAAAATCGATGTTAAGAGAAAGAAAATATTACCCCCAAAATATACTAATGAACGTTTAGATCGTGCAGCTAAAAATGGAGAAGTGCTAATTATCCAAGAATTTATTGATCAAGAATATGCTTCATTAAAAGATAAAACTAAACAATGTCAACGAATGATGGAAATTGCAAAACAAGAGAAAAGTTATCAAGTTCTGTCAATGTTACAACCACACTATGCAGATCTGAGTCAAGAACTTACAACAGAACAAAGAGCCAGTCGTTTAGTCAGTCTTGGTGAAGAATATCAAACTATCTTCTACAGTTTTATGTCTAGTCTATCACAAGTGATTGCAGACAGTGATGTTAAATTAGATCCAGAAAGTCCAGATACATACAAAAATTTACTATTGAATATGAAATCAAAGAATGGTGAACGTTTACAAAAAATTGATTCAATCCAAACGAAAAGTGATTCAATAGAACTGTACCAAAAAGAACTCGGTGATATGCAAGAGAAAATTGCTAATCTAGATGCCAGTGTCAATAAGATGAAAATGGAAAGGAAAGAATTGAAAAAGAAGATAGAGACATATGAAAAACAGTTGACAAATGATACAATGTCTGCTATTCAGAAGAAAGATTGTTATGCGAATAAACAGACAACGGAAGATGCACTGAATGCATTAGAATCATCTATATTACTCTTCAAAGAAGCACAAACCACAGCAAATAATAAGAAGAAATTATTGAGTTACATTCATAAAACTCCGAATCTATTTGTATTCTATACAACAATTGAAAATCGTCTGCAGAGTTTATTCAACGGCGTTCTAGCTGCACAAAGTAACCTGTTTAAAACTGAACTCGTAACACCGATAGCCATTGGAGTAACTGCAGGTCTTGAAATGTTCCCAATAGAAGCAATTCCATTGAGTCAATTCATTACAGTACCAACTAAATATGCAGTAACTAGAATGGTTGAAGCAATGGATAAAAGACGACAGCGCTCTCAATGGTATAATATATCGATCTTAGGAAATATTGAAGAGCTACAAAAGGCAGCAACAACGACAGCCGGCTTATTAACACTCTACTACAATCAACAAATTGAAGCTATTGATACTCAATCAACGGCAGTGAAAGGTAGTAATTTAGTGAGCACAGGTGTAGCTAAAATAAGACAAACTGTCGAAGGTAGTCCAGAACCAAAAAATGAAAGAACGATTGTCATGGTTGCACAATTTATTGTCGAATTTCTCGTTGATATTCTAACATCACAGGATCGAAAAGATACGAGTGGAAAGAAGACAAATCAAATTCTAAAAGATAAATCTTTAGCAGAACAACTGTGGCTATTTATTGCTAAAGAAAATATGTTAAATTCATCGAAGTGGGAATCAGCACAAGCAAAATTAGGCTTGTCTTTAGCTAAACGAATGCTAGTGCTACGAAAAAGGGATAAAACGTTTGTGAATGTACAAGTTCGTCAGTTATTCGGTTATGTTTCGTTGATCACGGGTGATGGAACAGTATATCGACCAAATGTGAAGAAAGATAAAAAGGAGTTAGAATTCGATGATATTGAAGATGTATTTGGCTACGTCTACTTGGATCCATTTTACTCTGATGATGGAACAATTATTAATAAAATTGTCAAAGGTCGTGAACTAGAAAAAAGTGACAGTCAACCTGAGGAAGCAAAAGCACTTAGTGAAAAGATTGATGACAATGTTCACACATTACGAGGAAGAATTTCTCCCACTGCTACTATTGGTAATAGTAGTGATGGTGTAACAAAACGCATGGCATTATCTATTGCAGAAACACTGAAAGAACACAAAATAATTCTGACAAAAGATGAAGTGAATGATATGGTTTATAAGTATCAAGAAGGTGTCACAATCAATGTCGACAGTTTACGTGCAGAAATGAAAAGTTCGGCAGCAGAATTTCAAACATCGATCGATGCTGCCTACCAAAAGATTGGTGAAGATTTTAAGGAATGCACAGAAAAATTAATTTACCAAAATCAGGAACTCTTTCAGAAATATTCACGACAGTTAACTGAACAAATGAACAAATCGGAACAACGTCTGCAAGAACAAATAACGAAACGCATGAATCAAATACAGGATGAAATGAAGAGTGCATCAGAGAAGATGTTGGCGATTGCAAATTCTGCTAAACAAGAATCATCTTCAGCTGTTGTTGTGTCGAAAAAAGCACAAGAAGTTAGTATCAAATGTGAACAAGACGCAAAAACGGCAAGTGAAAAAGCACAAGAACTAGTTCTATCAACTGAAAAACGTAAACAAGAAATGCAACAAGCAATCAATGATAGTATGGGTTTGATGCGACAGACAATTGAGGAACAAAAAGAAGCATATCAAACAAGTCTAAATGATCTGCAGAGACAAATGAGAACGGATCTGGAAAATATGCGTACAGCAGCAGATATTTCAAGACGAAAAGCAGAAGAAGCAGAACGTAATTCAACAAATACAGCGAGCTCGATGGAAGAACTGGTTAGAAATCAAAAGACAGAAATGGATAGACTACTCAAGAATCAAAAGACAGAAACGGATAGACTGCTGAAGAATCAAAAGGAAGAAACAGATAAACTGCTCAACGATATAACTAAAGAACGCAAAACATATAATGATACAATTAGAGATTTACAGAAACAAGTTGAAAGAGCAGAAAATAACGCACGAAAGGCAGCTAATGAGAGTGCATCTGCTGCTGATTCAGCTAAGAAAGCTCTAGAGAAAATAACAAAGAAAACGACGACAGATTGATAAATACAGGATGGTCCAAAAGTCGCTTTACCGAAAATAAATTGAATATTTCCATTACGACTCGAGCAAACAAGCTGATTTTTTTACCAATAATAGAGACATGTTCAAGCTTTATATTCATAAAGACATGCCTAGAGAGACCCTCTGTTAGGTATATTGTTTAATTTCCTATCTGTGAAAAAGTAAACTTTTTTTGTTGAGATCAATAATGGTATTTAATCAAGGGCCTCTCTAGTCAAATCTTTATGGATATAAAGCTTGAACATGCCTCTATTGTTGGTAAAAAAATCAGCTTGTTTCCTCGAGCCGTCATGGAGATATTCAATTTATTTTCGGTAAAGCGACTTTTGGGCCACATTGCACATCCGTCACATGAACAGCTCATTTTGTGAACTTTTTGTTATTTACAGATGAATTTTTTATGAAGAACGATAGCTTCATTTATTCAAGAAATAAAGAAACAACAAAAAGCAATAATTCTAACGTACAATCACTCATCATCTATCCTCAAGCAAAACCAATATGGAAAGCCTAATAGAAAAAAAGACATACCCGTATTTTAAAATGTCTCTCCGATTTTCCATATTACTTAAGACAGGGTATGCGGCAGGACCACCTTGAGACGCCGGAGAAAAATTTAAGATTTTCGATTTTAATATCCGAAATAGCAGGTCTAGTCGAACCATGCTTACATTCAAAATTTCAGGCTATTTGGTTTTGCCTATGCAGAGAACTGGTGAAAACACTATTCTCGCCAAAATTTTTTCTCTAAAAATGGGTGTCTTCAGTTTATTCATATTGTCTCTATTCCACTACGACCGTTTAAGCTCGGGGACATTCTAGAAGATAGAGGGTGTGGGTATGGGTATGGGGTATGGATGGTGTGGGTATTGTTCCTGCCTTTATTCACACTCACACCACACATCCACACTCATACCAATCACACCCACACCCAAGTGCTTCATATTCATCCTACTTTTCACATAATGTCAGCAGCTGATGGCGACCCTGAACATTTATTAGCACATATAAAACAGAAGTTTACATTAGTTCACAAAATATTTACCATTGATTTCATTTACGATCAGTATGTACTCGAAGCACTCGATGTTTTGGCCATCCGTTCACACGCACAAAAGAAAGATGCAGTGTCGCTAAAATTAGCAAAAAGTATCTTTCAATGGCAGACGCTTACAGTGTTACAGTAGCTAACGATGAAAATCAACCATTCATATTGGCATTATTCATTGTCATCTATCAAGTACTATGTACTTTCCATTGGTAAAAACTTACAATTTTAAAATAGTTGACAATAAAAATCAAGTATTTATATTGATATTAAGCACTATTATTATATAATCAATTGACAATAAAGAATAATTTTTGTCTAAAATAAATTTATTGTTACAAGAATGATTTTAAACAACCATTTACGCATTTCTAAATAGTTCGAGTCAGCTGTGAGTTTGAGATCATGTCCATTTACTTCATTTTCGATCTGTCAATTAATTACATCATTATACTTAGATTGTTTGGATAATAGTGAATGAGATGATCATATTTGCAACTAACTTTACTCAAGTTTTTTTTTATTAAACAATGGTTTAGAATTTTTTTAAAGAAATGTAAAATGCTCAGTCTTTCTGTATAACTGTATATTTCAATTATTTATTCATATATATTTTTCACATAGAGATAGTCCTAATTTAAAGAGAGGTAGTCGAAACTTTTCAACCACTGATTATTTGTTAATAAAATTGCTCAATTATTTAAAAATTTGAGCAATAAAAAAACCCTAGATAAACTTTATATAAAAGAGTTTAAAATTGGTATAGAAAATGTGTGTTGTTCAATCATTGATATTATCCTAACCAAAAATAATGATCTTGTCTATCATTAATAATAATACAATTGAAATGATTAAATCGAGTATGTTGTTGTTCTAACCATTCTACAGCAGGTGGTGAAGAATTTTTTTGTTGAATATGTACATGTAGACTATACAATTGAAGCATCTTACGTAAAATAAAATCGATAGTATTATTTCGTGAATGAACACCTAGTGATAAATGTTGACATTTTGAAGAAAAAATTGGTAAAATTTTCTCAAGTTCATTTTTATTAAAATATTGTAATGAATTTTTGTTTGAATAAAAAGTTAACGAACGAATCTTTCGTGATAGATGATTACATACACATATATCAGTCCAATTATCTGTCAATAGTTTCATCATACTCTTTTTCGCAGTTAATGAATATAAATATGGTGTATTATCCAAAAATATATTAAAATTTTCCATTGATAGTACTGCACAATCATCAATAGTTAAATGTCGTAATTTAGTCAAGACGTGTATCCAATCTAATGAATCGAAAGATGTATTAATTATCAAATTCATTATATTACTTCTATTAAAATTTTGATCAGGTTTTGTATAACTTTTAAATATTAATGTTTTAATATTTTTGTATGTATTGATACTTAGATGATCAATATTATTTTTCGACCAATTTGAAATCATTGTTTTTGAAGAATTTTTAAAAATTGTTAATGTTTCAAAAGGAAATGGTATTGTATAAAGAATTGCAAATTTTCGACGTCTGTTATACATGTCATATGTATCACAACGAGCAGATAAATCACAATGAATAAACCAATTCTTTTCAAGTACATAGAATGGTGTAGAGAACGATCCTATGACTTGTTTAACTTGATGCAATTGATAATCATAACAAGCGAATTGAAAATAGAATTTAAAATTTTTTAATAATGGAAGTGATGAAAGAATTATTTGTTCCCATATTTGACCATTAGGAAATGATATTCCTTTTTCTTTTTGATAAATTTCAAGATTAATTAATTGAGATAAATGAGTAAGTGACTGTTGAATTAATAAACAATCATCATCATTTGTAAAAATGATCTTAAGATGTTTTAATATTTTTGGCCATATTAATATTTTATCATTTAAACAACAATCTATTATTGTATATTCAATAGTTTCAATTTCAGAAAAATTCTAAAGAAATAATAAAGAATAATTAATTATAATTCTTATAATTTTGTTTTCTTATTTTTTTTTTACTTTGAGCCAATTTGTATTTGCACATGAACTGAAAATAAGTTTTTTTAATTTTGGAAGATTAAATTCCGAAATATTATTTCCACATATAGATTCAATTTTAAGTGAAATAAGATTTGTAAGAAATGGAAGTTGAGATAATAATGGATATTGATTGAAAGGTTTTATTTTAATAATAGATAATGATTGTAATTGAGAAAAATTATCAATAAAAAAATAATTTTCAAAAAAATATTTAACTTGTCCAGGCGTATTATTATCATCGGAAAGTTTTAATGAATGCCATCGATTTGTATTATGATATTGAAAGATAATATCAAATTTGTTTTTACTTATTGATGTTAAATCAAATGATTGACAAAATTCGAAAATTAAACATTGAAAACGATAGTTAAGATTTGAAAATGCAATAACTGCATCAGTAGCAATTAAATAAGATAAAATTTCAATGAAAAGTTCATTTGGAATGTTTTCAAATAGTGTAAAAAAATTCTGATTTTTTTGTTTATTAACCATATGATTCATATACCGTGTCAACAATCAACGAATATTTTATTTTGCAATTCGTCGATAAAATATTATTTGAATTCTTCAACTATTCCTTTTTCTTGCCTAAATTAAACTAAAGAGAAATGATGCATGAATTTCATATTATTGTGTAAGAAATAAAGCAAATAATGAGTCATTACTAGTGATGGATCGTAAGATGTAAGCAGCATTATACCTTCATTTTGACTTTGCCGTAAATCATAATAGAACAGAAAAAAAAGTCGTTATGTAGACGAACACATACAGCATGATCCACTTATTTTTAAAACTTCAGAAATTTTTCCTTTTAATATAGCTCGATAGAGCATTTAATTACTCTATTGAACTGTATAGTTTTCATTTGATTTATTTCTTATCTTAATTGATAATTTAGTGAAATTCTAAAAGCTCTCTAAAAACATTTTTTCATGCTGATATTTAGGTATAAAGAGAATATTCCCATTTGATAAAATCTGATAATCGCGAAATCGATCTCAAATTGAAGAGATCAATGGAAGACATGTTTCTGTCAAGTATTGAATGAAGCCATCCTGTATTTGAGGAGAACGCTTAATTTTAACTTTTAAATTTTGAGTTATCTAGCGCTTTTCGTTATAGCAATGAAAAACAGGTTGTAGGAATGATCGTATAATGAGTAATTAATCCTCTATTCAATTATATTAAAAGAAAAAATTTTTGAAGTTTTACAAAAATATAGTAAACTGAAGAAAATGAGCAAAAATAAGTGAATCATGCTGTACATCAAAGGAAACAACAGAACGAAAGAAATATATTATAATAGTCGTCGTAATACAGTAGAGTGCAAAAAAATTGCCGCAAGTATCTGATCAAATGATTTCAATGAATATGATGATTACCAAAAGCTGTTTGTCATACATAGTCTACACAATACTGAATGTATAAATATAATAATTGATAACTACCTTTGCTTTCCTGCAGTTCGACAAGAAATAAATAGTATGTCTTCAAAGCTGTACGCAAAGTAACTTAGAATCATTTTACTCACTGCACATCATTTCGGTCACAGGATGCAGGATGGATTTAGAATAAAGAGAAAACATCTATATCTATGTGTCTCAGTTTGCATCAAGCTTTTATAGCCCAAGGTTCAGTTCGATATAATGCTTCAGACAGGAGATAAACTAAATGAGATCTCCTGGAATTTTGACACATATTTGCACTCGATGGTATATTCTAAAACCGTTCAATTTGGATAAATATCATCTATTGGCTGAGATCTCTCGACACTAAAACTTTCAAGTTGATCGTATCAGCTATTATTGAGAAAGTGCAAGAATCAGGTGGGTGTGCGTGTGAGTGTCGGTGGGTGAGTGTCCCTTCTTCTGGAAATTATCCATGCCCACACCCACATCCTCAATGCCGACTATAGAGAATATATTCTTCTCTATAAAATCAGTCACTACGCTTTCAAACTCAATTGATGTTCGTTCTAGTTCATTTTTTCTGAATATGCTCTTCGAACACAAAATATTATAATAATTTTGAGTTTTATGTTTTCATTTTCGATTTAGATGAAAAAGTTAGTTGAATAGCAGTGAAGACTTGGTTATCAATGCGCTGAATATTTGAAAGACTTTTCCAATAAAATTGTACTATCAAAATTTCGCAAAATTACTGATCACACATTTGAATGAATGCACACAGTTCATCACTAAGGTTGCGTCTCAAAATCTAGTTTGGTAAAAAATTTTATTTGAATTCAATTATTTTAAAATATTATAAGAGTGTACCAAAATTTTGTACCCATACATGACTTTCTGGATAATAGTTTTGACCTATGTAGGCGATACCGATATCTTGATAATCGTTCATAATAGAATGACAATGACTAGGTGACTTGATCCAAGTGTTTACAACGTCTTGAGGAGATGTTTGACCCTTGGCAATATTCTCTGCTATCTTTCTAAATTGATAACCAACTTCATTTATTCGTTTACTTAGAGTACCACCTTGTGGATCAACATGATCGAAATAAGTATGAAGAGCCATGTCAACACCATGACATCGTGCGGCACATGTCAATTTCCAGTTTTGTTTGATTGGTGATACTCGATGTCTCCATTGTTCTCCACAATAAGTTCCTTTAGCACGAATTTCATTGACAAGTGAAAGTACTTCATCTTCGAATTTCGTCCAATCATGTGGCCAAGTCTCTGCTTTTTGACAATCAACACCATTTTGATCATGTGTCTGACTAGCCCAAAGTGGAGTTCTAGGTGAATTATTATATATGACTAAATTGCCGTCAGATTGCATAATCATGACAGCATTTATTGCGCCTCGATCATGTGTACCTGATGCCCAAGTAGCATCACCTTTACCATCATAAATCACTAAATTTCCATCAGCTTGCATTTCCAATCGATGAGGATGTATACCTTTACCATGTGTATTCGAAGCCCAAATAGGAACACGATGTTTGGTGTTGGGACCTTTATAGATCACAAGATTGCCATCGTCTTGCATACATAAACAAAAACGTCTATCAGAAGAGACTAAGCAATCATCGTGATTTAGTCGTTGACCAGATGTTAGACTAAAAATCAATATGATAAATCTAACATGAAACATTAAACGCAAAACTCACCGATCTTCATCAATATATCTGGTATCGACACTAAATCCGGAGATGACAATAAAGAAAAATGATAAGAAAAGATTCATTGACTTTCTATGATATTATATAGTAGAATACAAATTGTAAACGCGAACAACAAGAATATATATATGTAATGGAAGAATGGGATAGAAAATCCTCTCAGATTAGTATTATGAGTACGATGGGACATTTCCTACAAGTGACGTGTAAGAACAGACAGAAATTGTCATCAAGATCAGCAGGATATCTTGTATATGGGAATATTATACGATTTTCCCTACAATAACATATTTCTGATTCTTTTGGAAATATTCTCCTGTCATTCTCTTAATATATACAATCATTTTGAGATATTACAAAAAAAAAATTATTAAGAAAATTTATAAAGAATTTTTAGTTCTGCAAACATACATCAACAACGTATCCAAAATCATGAAAAAAACCTAAGCATTCAATAACGGTAATTTTTCATTCTTTTTCAAAGCTATTTTCAGAAAAAATAGCTTAATTGAAAGTCATTCTGTTTTGCTCATTCAGCTATCAAAATGCTAGTAATCTCGTTCTAGCTAGAGATAGCATTTTGAAATGAAAGATCTGGTAATCTTTCTAAAACAAAGCTTGCAAACAAAAACAGAATAATAATAGAGTTATTTTTTATCAAAGACTCATCTTTTAATTCTTCGATATAATATGGTATGTGGGTGTTAGTTAAATGAAGTACAGACACCCACACCCGAGAAGGACGTGAGTATGGTCTTTATTCAAAAAAGTTGATTGACCTCCTGGTAATTTTTCTCCGACATTTTTTACATCAGAAGACGCAGGTTTTCAAGAGCTTTCTTTTGATGTAATAAAATTTGTGTGAACTCCCAATTTCAGG